TAGCACCGTGCGGTGCTAGCCTGCTCGATCTTGCATCACTGCTGGAGTGACAGCTGAACTCTAACGCGAAAGCGTTATCATTTCGATGGAACTAAAAATAAGACTGACATTATTGGCGTAATGTCCATGTATACATATTTGCACTGGTAATTCACTACATTGACATGTAGCCACTGTATATATGTGTCGGATGGTTTGTAAACAAACGACGCTCACACTTCTTTCCTCAATCGAAATTCTGTCGCAAAGCTGCAATATAATGTACACACGGGGACAGGAATGCCTTCTCACATGAAGTAACACGGGTCTTGTCGGACATGTCAGGCATACCGGACATGCGTACTTCACTTCTCAATATTCGTGCATTATAACTGTAGATATTCGAAAAACGGCAACGCCGTCTCAGAGCGGGAAAATGTAATTGACAGTACATAGTTTGACATATCCGTATATTTGAAATAGCCACATACAAGGTGCCAAATAAATATAAACTAAATATGACAAAATAATATTTGAAAAATATACATATAATACTATATATATATATATATATATGTATGTAAAGGGTGTCTAGCAATAATCGCCCTATCGGTCATATACAGGTAGAGGAGGTCAAACCGAGTAGAAAAGTCCTTTACCATTTTTTGATTTTCGTAATAAGTGATCGCCTAGTGATCGCGTAACAGTGGGCTGTCTCTTCTCGCCGCGCGTGCTTTACTCGCGCGGATTCGCCGATCTTTATTCGTTAATTACTCAGTACTTATTACGAAAATCAAAAAATAGTAAAGGACTTTTCTACTCGGTTTGATCTCCTCTACCTGTATATCAGGCTTGGCCAAAAGCTTGCTCGCGAGCAGTCTTCAGAGTCCGCTGGATGGGGACTCGGCCCCCACTATCTCGCCGTCCCCACTTATGTTTGTTCGCTATCTTTTGTTCTAAGCCTTAGAACAAGCCGAGTCCCTATCCAGCGGACTCTGAAGGCTGCTCGCGAGCAAGCTTTTGGCCAGGCCTGCTGTATATGACCGGTGGGGCGATTATTGCCAGACATCCTGTATATATATATACAGAGTGTCCGGTAATTGCTGAATCACCTCTCAGGTGCAGGTAGAATGGGTTAAACCGAGTAGAAAAGTCCTCTACCGTTTTGCGAATTTCGCAATAATTAATGAGAAATTAATTAAAGAAAATCGGTTAATTTGCGCGAGTCTAAGCGCGCGGCGAGAAGAGACAGTCCATTGTTACGTGGTCGCTAGGACGCAAGGATCTTAGCGTTACGCACTGCTCGTATGTTGCCATTGTCATTTGTAGAGTGCTCCTTTCAACGCTTTATCGCGCGCCTAGTAACCAAATAACAAATAGGCTGTATCGCCACGGGTCTCTTCTCGCTGCGCTCTTAAACTCGCGCGAATTGGCCGATATTTTTTAATTGATTCCTCATTAATTATTGCAAAAGTCGCAAAATGATAGAGGACTTTTCTATTCGGTTTAAACCGCTCTACCTACACCCGAGAGGTGATTCAGCAATTACCGGACACCCTGTATATATACCCGCGTGTAACGGTGAATTGCGGCGCCCCTGCTTGTTTCTTGTACTCGACTCACGATACGCTAACTATTTTCTAACTTAAAAATTAAGCTACGCACAAACTTTTGCCAAAGGAAAAGTTGTCTCAGAATACGCTCAGGAATATGTCCCTTTAAGGACGGTTATTTTGAATCACCCTATATGTATATCACTGCTCGTATTGCTCGTGCAACTTGCCAGTGCCAACGCTCTTTCCACTTTGCCCGCTATGCTTCTCCTATGCGCAGACCATGAATATTCTCTCGCTGAACAGAATATATTTATCTTTAATTGCATTTTATATGATGTTAAAGATTGTCTAAAATGTTCCTTATTTTTTTTAAGTCTAATTTTTCTTTTTTTTTTAATTTCGTTAATTTGTTTAGTTTATTTTCTTTAGTTGATAAGGTAATAATAACGTTAAGTTCTGTACCCGATCTTGAATGTTCTCGAAGCGTTGTCTTAACGTTCTGTGTCTCATTCGCGGCCAGTGAGCATTGAAAAATGAATTTTCGCGCAGTCCAAGACCCCCCCCCCCCTCCCCCTCGATACCAATTGTTCGGGAAGAGACCTGGGATAAAGTTTCGAAAGAGTCAACTCTCCGATTTTGCTGTCCATTGGTATACTACTGTATTTTAATGCGCTGATTACGAATACGGCCATGAAAATTGTCGACAAGATCATTTTCAAAGTCAAAACTACTTAAAAAAACTCAAAAATTATCGTTTTTTTTTAACATTATTTTGATAAATATTGATGTAGCAAAGAAATGTTTCAAATAAAAGTTATAGCTCTTGAAAAAATACATCATTTATGTCTTATGCATTTTTTGCACAGAACCAATATTTTTCGAAAAAAATGAGATAATAGGAAAGACACTCTCCCCGCACGATGCAGTGTGTTCCGCCCCCTGCGGAAGGCTCTACCATAAAAAAACTATACACATAAGTTTGGGTTGAAACCTCGCTTTGCAGTGAAAATTGCAAACCCATGTAGAACCTCGCTTCGCGTTGTAAAGTGTATGCATAGAGGCTTGTGTTCCGCCCTCCTGTGGAGGGCTCCACTGTCACAAAACTATATATGTACATAAGTTTGGGTTGAAACCTTGCTTTGCGTGGAAAGTTGCAAACCCATGTAGAACCTCGCTTCGTGTCGTAAAGTATATGCGTGGATGCACTGGGAGTGTTTTTCCTATTATCTCATTTTTTTCGAAAAATATTGGTTCTATGCAAAAAATGCATAGGACATAAATGATATATTTTTTCAAGAGTTACAACTTATTTGAAACATTTCTTTGTTACATCAATATTTATCAAGATAATGTAAAAAAAACAATAATTTTTAAATTGTTTTAAGTAGTTTTGACCTTGAAAATAATCTTGTCGGTAATTTTCATTATCATATTCGTAATCAACGCACCAAAATACAGTAGTATACCAAACGACAGCAAAATCGGGGGGTTGACTCTTTCGGAACTTTATCCATGCTAGCAGAACACAGTGTAACAAAACACCGAATTAGCGGACATACTGACAAAATTATTACATTTTTATTTTTGACTTTAATTGTCAAATCTTGAATATAGAATAGTTAAAAAGTAAAGAAGTCACTATATTTGTTAATTATATTGTTATAGTAATGGTTTAAATATAATATTATACTTTACGTTTAAATATAATAATTAAATAAAAAATTATGTTTTATGTTTTTTCAAACCTAAAATTCTAACTGTAATAAATATGACACAAATTCAAATTCTCATATTGTAGCATTATTTTGTGTTTGTACTTTCATTGTATAATAATTAACCATTTATATAATTTTATTATTTGTTTAAATATTAATAGAGATGTTAGTTTAGCCTATTATAAAAAAGCAATAATTATCGACTTTATAACTGTTTTAAGAAAAATGTTAGAGATTATTAGCTTCCCTCGTTATCTTATGTTATTTAATGACCATTTGGGTTTAAAATTTAATAATTGTTAGCTGCGTAAAAGTACGTGTTTGCAAAATATATGCGATAATCGAATACAATACTACCTAAGTTTGAGGGTGAGCCCGCAATGAATATGATTGACCATGGTGGTTTAATATCGACTTTTAATATCAAGTTGTATTTATAGGTTTTTTGAGTATCTGGACACGAATCCGACGTCAGAATTTCAAACTTCAAATATTACCCATTACTCTTACTAAGAATTGGTCACTACGCGACGCATGCTTTTTTGGTCGCATAAAATATATGATATATTATCTTATTGAATTGATTCAATAATAATGAAAATAAATTAATAAGTATTGGAAATACAAAAGGCGATAGGGGATTCTTCGCTAGACAATAGTCGGATACAGGTCGCAAAAATCAATCTCTGTTTTTATTTAATACTATTCTGTATTAAATATTTTATATAATACTATTCTGTATTAAATTCATTTACTTCAAAATGACATCTGTAACTAATAATGATATATTTATCTTTTTAAAAGATTCAAATTGTAATTTTAAATATTATGA